TATATATATATATATATATATATATATATATATATATATCGTTACTATTTGCTGGGTTTCAAGCATATCTGCTATGAATTTTGGGACATATGCCTCGGTGATAAACGTGGGGAGGCGGCTATTGTATATAGAAGCTTTCATATAAAATTCCTTTCTTCCTATTGGTTGGGACATTAAAGAGCTACATAATAAAAAGTATATGTTTGAAATATGCCGTCTTAGAACAGAAAAGAATTTCTTTTTTTATGATAAAAAGAACATATTTTTGCTTTGTCACACCTGTTTAAATACAATATTTTTTCTTAAAGCCTAGTACATTTTATACTCTTTTTGCCCGGCGCCTTGTCTGTGGGTAATATTTAGCGAACTAATCAAGCAAACCATTACCATTGTGCAGAGCGTTCAATTCACGCTGGGGACCTTTTCCATGTGGTTTTGTGCCATTCTGAAATTAGTTTAACACTTTCACTACGGTGGAATTCTTATATGATTTTACAAACAGACATCAGGCCATCTTTAGCAGATTGGAATTTCGAAACGAACTCTTTAATTCGTCCACTAGGGTAAAGTGTTCTAGTTCCGCGTACCATGTCTCTTTCGGATATCTCGCTTTCAGTTATCTCCCTTTAAATCAACTCTGCATGTTTTTGTCGACTCTGCTGTAGCCAGGTATTGAACTCACAACTATTTGGGGCGAGTCACTGGATTCAACCAAAGCTTTTATCCACTAGGCCATGCGGAACTAGAACAATCTACCCCGGTGGACGAAATAAAGGGATTTGTTCGAAATTCCAATCACCTGAAGAAGGCCGGAGCGTACAATGGCCGAAACGCCGTGAATATGGCAATAAAGATGAGGACAATAGTCCTGACAATGTAAATAGTGTAAATAGTCACAATAACTCATCTCGGAAATATAGACAGATCCTGAAGAACGTCGGAGCGTACAATGGCCAAAACATTGTGAATATGGCAACAATGATGAGGGCAACAGTCCGAACAATGTAAATAGTATAAATACTCACAATACCTCATCTAGGAAATATAGACAGATCCTGAAGAAGGCCAGAGCGTACAACGCCCGAGACGTGGTGAATATGGCATGAGCAGAACTGTTTGAACAAAGTTGTGTAAATAATTATAATACAAAAATATAGAGAGATATTACATTGTCTGCTATCGATATATACGTAAATGTTCAAGACACTGTGAAATGTCATTCCGTAATCTTTTTTATTATAAACTGACTAACGCTTAGTGCTATTTACGAAATAGCGTAGAGATTTAGCAACGTACTGTACAACGTATTCTGTGGCGATAGCGATTAGGAATGTGAAATTGGAGACCCGAGTTCGAATTCCGGTTGGGTTTGTTATATTCACTTATAGCAAATAGCTTGGGAAAAGTTCGAGTTTATCTCGTCCCTCAAGTATGGGTTAAATAACAGAACTTTTACCTGGGGAAATAATTGTTATTCTCAGAAAATTATTATTCGAAAAAAAAAAAAAATTCTTGAAAGTGTTGTTTGGAAAAAATAATCTCACAATCCAAGCCATGATTCGGTTTGAAATAACTCGCAAAGGGTTGATAAAACGTCAAAAACAAATCAATCAATTAATGCGTGTTATTGATGTCGAAATCAATGTGACGACGCCCAGGTGAAATGACCGTCAGCGTTTTTATGGTCAATTATTTCGAGTAAACGATAATTTCCTCATTTTTTTTTTTACCAAAACGGGCCAGTATGGTCAGGAAAAATGTTAAAACAATGCAACAGTGAAAGTATTGCTTTATTTTAGGAGTTTTTCGATAAAAGAAGCTAAACTGATAGTGATTGACTTCATGATGCATATTTTCATGTATCAAGCAAAGCATTTTGTTTTTGCTTTTCTCCTGTACTTTTTCTCTGGAATGAAACCGTGGCCGAGAGACATTTGACCGAACGAACATTTGGCCCCAAAAGTACAAGTAAAAATAGTAACAAGCAATACATTAAGTATTTTAATTAGCAGTATTATAAGGTAGAATAGGACTAATAATCACTACTGAATTTCAAATGATTAAATTACTAAATCTAAATTTAAAGTTAAAAGTTTTCTTTTTCAATATTTGTTTATTGAAATTAGTATTTTAAAAAATATTAAAGTGTATTTGGGTAAAAAGTAGCACTGAATTAATTAAATTCGTATTTAACAGTAAGATAAAAGCTAGTTCATCCCTTTAAGATAATGATCGTTAAAAGCGAATTTGAAAGATCTTTCATATCGTAAAAGCTCAAGATTTTTCCTGTATTAAAATTTGCTTTTTCTCAAAATACTTATCATCTTACAGTAATATTTGTGGTAAAATATGATACGGTGTAACCCGGATATAAGAGAGTTGTCGGGACCGGAGAAGAAGTGTCTTATATCCGGGTTTCTCTTATATCCGGGTTTCTCTTATATCCGGGTTTCTCTTATATCCGGGTTTGGTCTATTTTATATACATTAACACAGGCTCTAATTTGGAACCAGAGGAAATCTCTCTTACATCCGGGTTTCTCTTATATCCGGGTCTCTTATATCCGGGTTACACTGTATATACAGAATAGATATAAAAAAAAATATAAATTAATACACTAAATAAATACATGTAACACATTACGATAAAGAGTTGTGATTTTCCAAGCGTAGCTCAGATGTGGCACAAGGACGAAAGTATGGGGTACCCAGTGAAGATCGAACTCACTCGTATCTGTCGGCCAAATGTCCGAGTACGGAAAGTCAGTTATCTCCTGTTAATTCACATGTTAAGGACACATGGCACAGTGGATAAGAGCGTTGGTTAGATCCAATGACAGGATCAAAAAAGTTGTGAGTTAACCTGGTTAAGACAGTGTAGAACTTGGAGAGGTGAATTAACTGATGATAACTGATAACTGACATCCGTTAGATATGGCACGTGGAACTAGAACAGTCTACTCCAGCTAGCGAAATAAAGGGTTCAGTTCGATATTCCAAACACCTGAAGAAGGCCGGAGCGTACAACGGCCGAAACGTTGTGATAAATATGGCGAAAAAGATGAGGACAATAGTCCGAATAATGTAAATAGTGTACATAATACCTCATCTCAGAAATATAGACAGATACTGAAAAGCCGAAACGCTGTAATAAATATGGCGACAATGATGAGGACAATAGTCCGAATAATAAAGACAGATACCTCATCTCAGAAATATAGACAGATACGAAAGGTCGAAACGTTGTAATAAATATGGCGACAAAGATGAGGACAATAGTCCGAATAATGTAAATAGTGTACATAATACCTCATCTCAGAAATATAGACAGATACTGAAAGGTCGAAACGTTGTAATAAATATGGCGACAAAGATGAGGACAATAGTCCGAATAATTTAAATAGTGTACATAATACCTCATCTCAGAAATATAGACAGATACTGAAAGGTCGAAACGTTGTAATAAATATGGCGACAAAGATGAGGACAATAGTCCGAATAATTTAAATAGTGTACATAATACCTCATCTCAGAAATATAGACATGCTCTGCATTGTAAGAATTTATTTTTCGAGTGAATATATTTTTTTACTAATATTCGCCCAATACAAGCCCTAAGAGCCACTCAAGCTAGAGGTTTACTGTGGGGTGTTATATTAGCGTAGGAAAGGACAAGCATTAGGAATATAGAGATGAAGTAGACATTAGAAGGAAGCGGAAACCCAATCCTAAACAAGAAACAGGGGATAAACCTTTACCCAAGTTAAAAAAAAAAAAAAACGGTGGTGTTTGAACCGGGTGAGAGGCAAACTTATAACCAGTAACTGAATGTGAGTTGGTTATGGATTTATATAATTCTCAAGGGTAATTGTGCGTAAGTGGATGCAACGATCCCGACTGGATATCAAACTCGTTTGGGAAGCTGTTTTACTGTTCACCTAACTAGATGAAAGCATATGATCTATTCAAATAGTTTTTGTCTGGTACTTCGCACCGTACTTTTCGATTTTCTGCATCTCTGTCATTTAGAATCTTAACATTTTTTAAATGCAACTCGCATCACCATCTTCTGTCTTCTTGTACCCTGTTCTTTTATTGTCTTTTCTCCTCACTAAGAATTCTCATTCTCTTCCACTCCCAGTAACCCCTTGCATCTTAGTGGCATTATCACTTGTTTAGGGTAAAATAATTAAAAAAAAAAAACGAAACCCGAGCCTCTGTCCATAATCATATTCGCCCATACTTCAAACTTCATAAAAGCTGTTTGATGACAAGGTAGACTAAACAACTTGACACGATCGTCGATGTTATGTCTGGATGAAGGGTGTCTATTTTAAACATGTGACCTAATTTAATGTTTACATAATTTCATATTTATGATAATTTTTCTCGCTGTTACGAATCAAGAACCAGACAAGAAATGAATGAATAAAGAAATAAAAAAAAGACCAGCATTGTGGGGTAGCAGTAAGAGAAATGATTTTGCCTTAAACTGATTATGCCTGTCAAAAATATTCGATTAAAATTACTCTTCATATTTTTAGCCAACTTGACATAGGAACGGACAAGCCCCAAAATGTGGGAAACAGCTGGCGGAAAATGGTGTTTCGCCAAGTGTTGAGGGAATGATTTATTGTGATAGTGTAACGTAAAGATAATAATACAATCGTATTTCCATGGATTCTCTCTCTCTCTCTCTCTCTCTCTCTCTCTCACACACACACACACACACACCTTAAAGTGCAACAGCTGGCGACCAGCACCAACACACACAAGCGCACCAAAGCAAGGCAATAAAGCCCCTGAGACGCAAGGAAGTTACTAAGTGTGAGAGAATAGGAGATAAAAACATTATTAACGCGAGAGAACAATAAAGGAAGAGTAATTAAGAAGACAGAATATTAAATAATAGTTTAGCAGACAATTATTTTTAGTGGGAGGTAAATCTCAGCTCCGACTTCCGGAGGTTGACCTTTAGGGTCAGATGTAAGACATAATAAGGAAGTTGATTTTTATTGTTTCTGTTCATTCTATCTATCTATCTATCTATCTATCTATCTATCTATCTATCTATCTGAGTATTTGTAGGCTTTATTAAAAATGAACCCACAGCGTCTTTTAAATCCAAGCTAAGACAAGATAACTAAGAAAACAGCCGAATTATGAGTTATACAAATCCATAACTGGACCTATTCTATGATCAAACATGACTAAATTAATAAATATTTACTGAATATAGTCAGTGATTCGGGACAGAAGCCAATTATTGAGTGATTCTATTTTCGTTACGGATCTATGGTATGAAAATATAAAATGTCACAAGGTATTTTTGAATGTAGTCAATTTATAAGCACGTACATCGAAACTGCTGCTCTTCGGGTGAATGGCTAAACAAACAAAAGTTGATGAATTTAAACCTTTAAAGGCTTGTGGCGGGGCGAAGTGGGGCATAGTAGTAAACTTCTACTGAATAAAGTATTTACTGCAGACAATGGTAATTAGGGAAGAGTATAAATGCGAGTAGGGGAAATAGTTGTCCTGTTAGTGGCTCTCTGGGTAAAACAAACGGAATTAAACGCTTCTTTTCTTTCAGCGCGCGATACTCAGCATGAATTCCGGGTTAATAAGCAAATATCTTTACCCGTAAGTCGTATAAACAGGCTTCTTAACATCTTACATAGTTTGATTCTAACATTAAACTATCTATCTATCTATCTATCTATCTATCTATCTATCTATCTATCTATCTATCTATCTATCTATCTATCTATCTCAGTCTGTTCATATCTATCTCAGTCTATTCATATCTATCTATCTATCTATCTATCTATCTATTCATTTCTTTCTTTCTTTCTACCTATCTATCTCAGTCTATTCATATCTATCTATCTATCTATCTATCTATCTATCTATCTATCTATCTATCTATCTCAGATGTATGTATGTATGTATGTATGTATGTATGTATGTATCTATCTATCTCAGTTTATTCGTATCTATCTATTTATCTATCTATTCATTTCTTTCTTTCTTCCTATCTTAGTCTATTCATATCTATCTATCTATCTATCTATCTATCTATCTATCTATCTAAGTCTGTTCATACCTATCTCAGTCTATTCATATCTATCTATCTATCTATCTATCTATCTATCTATCTATCTATCTATCTTATCCGTTATTTACTGTGCTTAG